GAGACATGCTTCTAGTTGACTCTTGTTTTACAAAAATTGCTGGAACATTTTTAACAATTTTGATTTTATAAAAACTAGAGCTGTTAAATGTTTAGTGCATTGTCACATAACAAGGAGGAAAAAAGGCAATGCACAATTTGCCAGGGCAATTCAGACACTGCTATAACCTCCCCCTGAGCTGGTATCTTCCCCTCTCAGCTGACCTTTCCAGGAGGGAAACAAAGAAAACGCTGCAGGAGATACGGCAAAGCACTTCCACATAGGAATAGGAGGCAAGGTTATTTTCAGGGAAATCCATGACTTTCTATGCTTACTGGCATTTCAAAATATAGAAATCATTATCATATTTGATTAGACGCTAAGTCAGTCCACTAAATAACACACAGAGAAATATTAATCTGAATATTTTATCAGGATTTATCAGAATAATATAAACAAGCAGCTCTCATTTCTTTGAGCTTACTGAGGAGCTAATGTTCTAAGACTAATGCTTCACTGATGCCACTTAATTATAAAAGTAAATTCTGCCTTGCCATATGGCTTTTTTTCAAGAAAACAAATGAATTCCCTAGAAGGTTTCAGACTGCAACAGAACTCATTAGTTTTTATCTGCCAGGTCACATGTGATGTTAAGAACAACGCCTGGGGCCAATTTTAAAGATACAGTTTCATGGGAACATAGCTACATTGCCCTGTCTCAAAAGCCAATGGTCTTCATAACGTACTAACAACTGGTTTACGTTCATACTCAACTCTCTCTGTAGAGTGTTTCGCATCAATCTATTTTCTTTTTTTTCTTCCATTTTACAGAAATGTATAATCTCCTACAATTTAGCACATATCTATTAAGAAAAAAGTTCCTTTTACATTAAACCTAGGCCCAATTGACGTAACACTGAAAAACCTGTCACATTCTTCAACTGCATATTTTAAACCCAGCAACCATAATAAAAATCATTCTTCTTCCCTTAATTCAGCTTCATAAATTGAACTGTAATCTTCGCTTGTCTTCACTATGCACTTTGGGCTGTTCGATCAAAGTCAGGCAAGACAAATCTCTCCCCCTGCCTTTTCCCCTGTCTGTCCCCACCCCCTCTACCTCACTGCCCTGTTTCTCAAAGCTATCTAAATGAACTTTTCTACACAGGCAACTTGTGCAAAAATGTCCCAGGCAAGCAGGACAACTGTGAGGTTGTTACTGAGATCCAGGCTAACTCATCAGTCATTTGTGAAGATACTCCTCGTCCCCTGAAGCCCTGGCCAGTAGCACACATAGATGTCCTTTTGCACAGCAGATTGACAGAAGACCAAATGACACTGTTTTAAAACAAAAGTATTACAACTTCTACACTTCAGATCCAATATGTGCTTTTAAGCAGGCCTGTTATACTGGAAGGTGTTAATGATTGTCAAGTGACTGACACAAAGACAAGAGCAAGCCTCATTAAATTTCAAAGTTGTGCTAACTCCTTTTACAATTAAAACAGGAGGTATAATTGAACCTCTACTGTATAGCAATATTCAGAAACTAAAGCAGTCGCTACTAAAAGAACTGGACTTCACAGTAGGAAACATGAGTGTGACCTAAGAAGTAAAGACACTCCCCACAGCTGAAGTTCAGGATCTGTGAGGAATGTGAAAGGTGATCAACAAAACAGACTGCAGTTACTTGTTTCTATTACATTCAGAGAAACATGACTGTGTGCACTTTAGAAATCAGTCAGACTGAGCCAAAACCAAACTTTAAGACAGAAATTCTTCATTATGAGGGTGGTGAAGCACTGGCACAGGTTGCCCAGAGAAGATGTGGATGCCCCCTCCCTGGAAGTGTTCAAGGTCAGGTTGGATGCGGCTTTGAGCAACCTGGTGTAGCGGAAGATGTCCCTGCTCATGGCAGGGGGGTTGGAACTAGATCACAGAATCGTAGGTTGGAAAAGACCTCCAAGACCATCAAGTCCAACCATCCGCCCAACAATACCATGCCTACTAAACCATATCCTGAAGTGCCACATCTACATGTTTTTTGAACACCTCCAAGGATGGGGACTCAACCACCTCCCTGGGCAGCCTGTTCCAATGTCTGACCACTCTTTCAGCAAAGAAATTTTTCCTAATATCTAATCTAAACCTCCCCTGACACAACTTGAGGCCATTGCTTCTCGTCCTATCACTAAGGTACCTTTAAGGTCCTATCTTTAACGTCCCTTCCAACCCAAACCATTCTCTGATGCTACGATTCATTGGGATCAGGACCCTCTCTCCCTGATGGGGATGGTGGGAGGGGAAAGGCAGAAGGTGGCTCCAAATCTTACGCAACCCCCCATGACAATGGAAATACCACTGCCAGGGTGGACTGGATGATTAAAGTGAAGGTGTGTGCTAGTACTGGAGTAGCAACATTCATAGATCACTGCAGATGGTGTAAGGAAACTGAAACAAGGCTGGGAGTCTCCGAATTAACCAACTCAAGACCTGTAGGAGAACTGGACGTTTTGCAAAACAAAATAAAATATCAACCAGAGATTTCTCACAAAAACTGGAAGACAGCTGTTGGGGGAGTGGGAGGCTGAGTTAAAATTGTAAAATATCAATTTGGACAGTAATTGCCTTCCCAGTCATTGCCTGCTATGACAAATACTACAGAATAACGTCCCTTTCACATATTTAGAGATCTCTATCTTAAAAATATTTTTGTTCTTGTTTTGTTCGCACTGGTAAAATGTGACAAAACTCATTGTTTCTTGACCAAATTACCCATAGCTAATTTAAACTGATTTGATTTTCCGCCAACACTACTGTGTAGTTCATAAAAGCTATTTCCTTTCCCAGATGTACTTGCTGGCGGATTTATGGGTAGGCACTGTGCACACACTCTACCTTTGTTTTCCTGCCCTACAATTCCAACCCTTTTCATTTGCCTTTAGCAGCCCTTCCCTACATCTCTAATTTTGATTAACCTTGTTTAAGCATATATAAACAGTAATACACACCACTGCAGTTTAAAGTCTCCAAGGACCTTGTGCAACAATATCAATAGTTCTCCGTCACTACAGGAGACACCTTTCGAGGCATCATGGGAACATATCTGTCTTTTTACATAGCTGCATGACATTGGCAGCTCTCAACCGTAATCCAGCCTGGATCCCATCTGGGAGCTTCACTGCCTTGCTTACGAAGACAAGTCATGAACCTCTTTAGAAGCTGTAGAACTTAAAAAATGGAAGAGAATCACCCACAGAGAATCTCAATGACAGAAAAGGGATTTAAGAACTTCCAATAGTGTCAAGTTATCACAACTCTATTTTGTTTGGTTTCCAAGACCGAGAACTTCAGGGGAAGAGTTCCCTAAACTCCACTAAAGGGAAAAAAATCAGTTAGAAACTTCAGCTGAGCCAGGACATAGCTCCTGGCTGTGAAAATCATTCTTCTGGTTTAGAAGAACACCACCTTACTAAAGCAGAAGCCTAGAGGTGCAAGCATCACTCCCTGGTTTTGTTTAGATGCTGGGCAAGTAAATCATAATGAGAGTACTTCTCCCGATAGTGTAAACGGAGTAATCTAAGTTTATTTGTAGCTTTGCCACGTCCCACATCACGCATTTCCCTTCTCTACCATTGACTGGGTAGATAAGGGAAAACCATGTTAGAAGGCTACAAATTATCATTTTCACAGCTGAATAGAAACTTGTAACTGTTCAGCTCTTACTGAAATCACTTTGCATATAGTTATTAGTTTTTCAATACTGGTCAGTACAAGAAGATAATGAAAAAAGAAAATGTTGGAATATTCTAAGAGAAATAACTCTTAGAATAATATCAAAAGATATTTCACTGGGGAGGAGGAATTAACAGTGTATTTTCTTCACTGTCTTTATGAGAGCCCAGATGAACAGTACCAGAGGAAAAAAAGAAAGGAGGGAGAAAAAAAAAATAAAATTTTTATCAGTTATTGAGATCTATACAGTGTGCATCAATCCAACACACAATGCCACGGGACTGAGAGGCTCAGACAGCTCTGATTTACGCTGGCTGTCTTTACAAAACAGTGCCAGTTGACAGCCTCATGCCTCATTTCATTTGGCAGCTTACAGAACAGAAAAATCAGCATGAGTGCACGGGATATCCCACTTCAGGTAGGCCAGAGATATATATGTATCCCCACACTCAAACCTTTGCCCCTGTAGACAAGCAACTTCCACTGGCACACAGAAAAAAATTTTCTCGCAGTGCATTTTATGACTCTGTTTTGAATCTCATTTTCAACTAAGAAACAAATTGGGAAACAGAAGTATGTCCCAATGTTAAAACTTACAGAAAAATTAAGTGACTAGAATTTCATTAATTCAAGAGCAGAATATATTCAGAATGCAGAATTAAATAATAAGTTTAGATGGTTAAATTTTTTTGCAAACCAAAAATGTTTTACATATGCTAAGAGAAGAAAAAGCAGCGTTCAAGGACTGTCACTGCTTCGATATTGACACCTAAGACAGTGTCACTGTCAATCACAGCTTGCAAAGTTCTGTCCTACGGTGCAAAAATTATGATTATCACCGACTGCACCACTAATTCTGCAGTCTTTTAACAGATCGTTCCTGGCATTGTACTGAATAATTATTAGAATCATCCAAGCATGAAGAGCCGTGTCATGTAAGTCAAATTTGGGATCATCATATGTTTTATGCTATGGTAACTTTTGTCACATTGTCATAAAGCATCTGCCTGTTCCACTGTATGCATCCATAGTTTGAGAGTACTCCAGGACAGTCACCTTAAAAATGAAAACAGTGTAAGCTATTAGGGTCCTTGATACCAGGTAGTCCATCTTTTAACTGGGTCAGGAATAAGAGAAATCAACATATTTAACGCTCTGTTTAGTGGGTCTGGAAAGCAGGGGAGTCACATGTGAGCAAACTGATGTAAGAATTTGGCCCAATATTCCTTATCGACAAAGAATAAAATCCAGTCTGATGTAACATGAAAATAAAATAGATTTCTCACCTTGCTCCAGCAATAAGCTCTTTTTGTCCTGGGTCAAACGTTAACTGTGAGAAGTCCACAGCATCTTCTGCTCTGAACACATGTAACCAAGGGGCAATTTCTAAAAACAATCAAGAAATACAGTTGTTAGTGTAAATGTCACAGGTGTAGTATGTCAGGTAGCCAATATTACATTTGTAGATACTGTGAGGCTGCAAGTTTTCTCAGTACGGTCCTCTAAGGAAATGTAGGAGACTCTTACCATCATACCACGTATTTTACACTACAGCCCTGTAAAATATATAGAGCAGTCACCCAATACACGCTTGAATGATTTGGTCTGATTTATAAGCCAGATGTTGTTTTCCTCCTTAGATAAAGCAGAAAACACCACACTACAACTGCAATTCGCTGGTACATACTCAAGTCAGATTAATTTTCCATGCATCAGAAGCAGCTGAGGACTAGGAGTTTGGGTTTTTTGCTTTGTTCTTTAAAAAAGGATTCAACCAACTGGAAAACAATGAGGAAAACAAGCAAATTTGACTTTTCATCATTTTCATAATGAAAAGGGTGAGACATGAGGGATGAAAAAGGGAAAATGTTTGACACTCAGGTGAACTTTTTGGTTTTTTAACCTACCTTTCTCAGACCAATTTAGTGCTTCATGAAACAGGGCAGACAAGTAGGTGAGTTGCTGAAAATCAGCAAGGAGCATTACTTGTATTCAGAATAAGAATCTATCCCTACTTTCAAATATTTGCATTACTAGCAGTTATTTTTGCATTCACATCACTAGTTGGATATATAGTGAGGCTATATGAACACAAACATTACGGGAACACAGCATGGTATTTTTTAATTTTTTTTTTTTTTTTTTACACAGACACACAGAATACGTAAAATCGTTATAATAATATAAATGGCTCCATAAAAAAAAGTGCAGTTGTCCAAAGCCTCATCCTCTAGAATTTCTCTCCCAATTCTCAGGATATTGAAGCATTTCTCTTATTTATTTTTTTTTTTAATGTAGTCACAAACCAGTGGTCCAGAACATATCTGAAAGGTGAAGAGGGCTATGTATGTGTGTCTGGCACAACAGGCTGTGGAACCTTCTATTTGAAGACTATAGATGTGAAACATTCAATAAACAGACCAAAGGTGAGCACATGGCCATGACCATTTAGAACACAGAGCCAACATTAACCACCCTGAGAGTGCCGTGGCAGTGTAATTTTTGGTACTGATATCACCAGTTGCAGCTCAGGTTGCCAATACCTATTTTAAGCTCCTTTTTTCACTCATGAGCATATTTTTCCTTTTGCAAATGTCTGGATTGAAATAATGCATGTCTGGTGCCTGTTTCAGGATGATTTTTTCTTAATTTAAATTTTAAAGTTTTAGCACAAGTAGGTCATCGACTCCTAAGGAAGGGGCCCATGAGAAAAATGTTATTCGGCGTCAAAACGTGTTCAGCCATTGCAGGAAGCCATTAAACGTACTGTGCTGAAGCTGTAGTATCATCACGTCGGAAAAACAGATGCAACCATGCAGTGAAATCACTTGGGTGTCAGAAAACTAACTTCTGCATTTTTAATGACAGCCTGAATGCATCTGGGCAATTTCAGGCCTGTTACGCCAGTTTGTACATGTTCTGCAGAACTTGTAACTAAATTCACTGTTGATTCCATCTGTACTGGATAGGATCTCAAACCAGGGTCCGAACACTGGGCAGAAAAGGGGATGGGGCCACATATTAGATACCTGTGATTACAGCTGCCATCAGGTACCAGCACAGATGCTCTGCATAGAACCTGGCAGGATTCCACAGGAGGAAAAAAAAAAATATACACACACATATATGTTATAGGCCTGCGTAGCCTTAGACATACTTCTTTATCTATTTAAATCTATATATATAAGGCTACACAGGTAAGCCCAAAAGAGGCACTTCTTCACCCTTTCGTACTTGATCTTGCAACCTTAACTTTTCAGTCATGCATTTCGTATGAAACAATCAATTACACAGTTCTAAAAAGTTGAGAAATTAGGTGGGACACGAATATGAGGAAATCCAGATGTAAGTCATGAAGAATCTCACTTACTAGAGAAAAAGACAATAAAAAAACCCCAGAAAAATAAAGCTAAATAAAATTATGTCTATCAGTTTGTCAGCCAATGTCAGCCAATAAATTCCCTCAGACATTTGCGACATAAAGAATATGCACGTGGTCTTCACACAAAACATACACACACTCCCAACCAGAAACAGCTCTCAGTCCTGAGATGCAGAAAGGCTATTTTCCTTGTATCAAGTACTGTGACTAGGATAGAAATGGATATAAAACCATTTTATAAAGTAGCAGAAATTCAGACAAAATCATAATACTGATGAATAACTGATAAAACCACAGAACAAATACCCTACGGAAAAAAACAGGGCTTTAAAGACAGAACAGAGTACCCAGGCCGGGGGTCCAATCAAACCAGTGGGCAGAGGCTGCAAGAGGGGCTGCAAGGACAAGCCAGGACACAGATTTAGTCCGTTGGCTGCTACGTTCCCCTTCCATGTGGTTGCACAGGCCATGGGAAATGCTGCCTTGTACATAGGGGGAATTTGCACTTTTCAAGACGGCAGCCACAGCTCCCTGGGCTCTCTCTGCCTACGCTCACGCCCAGAGGTTTCTGCCTCCAAGGAACAGTCTTGCAGAATCACACACAAGTCTAATCCTAAACTGCCAAAGCATAACTCAGCCTATCAGCGTATCAACACTTAAATTTGTCTTGCTGCGTGCAAATACACAGAGCTGAAAACCCCACTGGCTCAGCAGCAGAACTGCACACAGGCAAAGCCAGACCCGCTGTGGAAACAGCAGTCTCTGAAACAGAGACAAGGCAAGCAACTGAGAATGGAATTACTTCAGCTCCACACTGGTACCTCAAACGGGACCCGTGGTCTCCTGTAAAACCAGGAAAGCAGCAGCGACCCACAGCACGGGTAGGGCAGGGACATCTCCATACACAGAGGCACTGCTGTGCCAGAAGACTACAGGGGAGACTGAGATACAAGGACACAATTCTCCTCCACTTGTCCTGCTGTCTCAGTGAGGCACAATAAGGCTTCAAGGCACAGCAAAAGCAGGTGACTGACACCATTTCCAGGTTTCGAGCAAGGGGGCAGGGGCCAGGCAGGGCAAGGCAAGCCCATGCTAAAGAACACAAAGAGAACGAGGGCTTGCTAAGAAATCTCTCTGAAATCCGATTCCCCTCTGTCTCTCCAAAATACACATTATTTTATCCTGTCTTTGTTGCATTCAGCAGCGTTCTTGCTTGAGGGAATAAGGTCAGGAAGAACAAATGGCAGCTAGAGCTGGGGACTTTTTTCAGCGAACACTCTGACACTGTATCTTATGTGTGTCACAGTGGCATCACATGTCACTCACGAATAAGCCTTTATGCAGCAAAGCTACAACTTTGCAGTACTTCTCTTAGGAAAAACAAACAAACAAACAAAAAATCACCACCAATAAAAAAAAAAACAAATAAAAAAAGACAAACAAAAACCATGTAAACTGTAAAAGTAAAAGCTTATTGGTGAAATTCTGGTTTGAGTTACACAAAAATTATGTAACTAAATTAACAGACTAATTAGATTTATTTTCATCTAAACAGCAAAACCTAGTTTTAAAGCCTCAGGTGAAACAAGACCTTTCAGTTCTGTTATGAGTTATCTCCTTAGAGTCAAAAATGCATAATAAGCTATTAAAGGTCCATAAATTATTTTACCATGAGTTTTTAATTTAAATAAAAGTAATAAGCAATAGTAATTTGACTTTATTAATGGTTATCATTACAAGCTTTACAAAATAACACAGCTATAGATTTTGCATACTACTACAGTACCATAAATAAATGTGTAAGTTAATTAAGCTGGCCTGCTGATGTGTAACCTAATCATACTGCCTGCTGATCACAGACGACAAAAAGCAACATCCCTTCCCTTTCCAATTCCAATCCTCCCCTTCCTGGCATTCCCCTCGCTTTCCTCTGCCCTCAGTTCACGGGCAGCACAGTAAAATAGCCAGTCCTTTAGTGACTTCTCTCTTCTTAATCCTAATACTGAAAATACTTATGCAGACACACCTTCAACCTGGATTTTTTTTTTTTTTCCCCCTTTAAAACTAAGTATGTATGTTTAGCATTCTGCAGACATCAGTCTCAGACTTAAAGCTGTCCATGGAAAACTCTGTCATGGTATACATACAGTCATGACAACACCTAGTCTCCAACACACGCTGTGTCCTTCCAGTACATTCAAGACATACTTACCCTTAGCAAAAAAAAAAGGATTTTTTTTTTTTTTAGTTACTATTACAGGGCTGATATCTGCAGGCTTTCTAACTCAAAAACATTCCAACAGAAAAAGCACATTTTCCCATGGAACTAAGATTCTGAGAAAGCTAACGCGCTCTTTAACGTGCTGTGAATCACATGCTGTGGGTTTTCCTGGGGGGGTTCAAGTCTTGGAAGGGTTTTTTAACAGCTTAGATTTAATGGAAAAAAAGATTGTCATGGCTCATAAACCTATGGCAAAGCAAACACACTGAAGCCCCCTCAGCTCCTAGGAAAGGTCAAGGGAGTCTCCTAAAGAGCTTTAAAGACAAAAGCGGTTAACAATCAAAGCTCGGAAGGAGGATGTTAGATACTCATACAAAAAATGGAAGTCCAGAAATCTGTCTTGGTTTTACTTTAAATTCAGTAATTTCACAAATTCAGCTACTTTAAATTTACTGCCCAATAGGCCATAGCTTGTTTTGTTTACATTGCCCACGGACTTTCCAAGGGCCGAGCTCTACGCTTCTTCACAAATGAGTCAAGTTCTCTCTACCCTAAGCTTCATTATTCAGCCCTTAAAAGTAGAGCTACAGTAAGCAGCTAAATAAATTGAGACATGACTAATAAGGAATAGAGTGGTATGTTTCGAACTAAATTCAGAAGTGATCTGTAATGGTAAAAAACACAGTTAAAAGACAACAAAGACCTCTTTGATTTCATTAGAAAATTAACATAGATATTAAAATTTTCAGTAGTGTTTATGGTGTATGTATGTGACACCTCATG